ATAGCCAATGCGTTGGAAGTATTTTTAACGCATGTACTTTGTACAGATGTCATTTAGGTAGCTCGTTATCGTTATTTTGTTCGTTGGACTGACTTCTGTGTCTTCTCAGCGACTCTCAAGCTCTTCCGAAATTGGGAAGTACAAATTTTGCTTGAAAGACGGTGCCCCCTTCCATTGATACAGCGATAGCAACATCAAGTGATACCTCCTTGGATCTCACCGCTGGGTGGTTGTCCACGATGAAGTGGTGGAGGTGAAAAGTAAAGTAGGTGGGAAACTTAGCGACCACCCTCAAAAAAGGGGCTGGAAATGCCGCCTATCTCGACAAAAATGCCTCAAATTTATTGTCAATGGAAAAGCTATTAACGAGTAATTAGACATCGAAGGAAATCCGTTGCAAAGGTGTCCATGCCACTTGCATGAGGCCATCAAGCAAGCGCTTGCGTCTCTCTTTCAGGGAAGTTAAATTCCATGCAGGTATACAACCGGTAAGCGCTGAAGTAGAAGTTGAGTGGAAGACAAAAAAAGATGTGTTTAAAGTCTTGTTATCCCGACGCCATCTCAACCATCCTCCTGATCGTGGCCTTCATGGCTAGCGATGGAAATATGCGATGCTTAGCAAAATTCCTCCTTCCTCACTAAGATTTCACTAGAGGATGCAACTTTAGGCTTAAGAGAAACGTCAAAAGAGATGGATGAAGTCAAAATCCAAAACTACTCTGATTGCTTTGAAAACGGTGTTTTGCAGACGAAAACACACTGTGAGTGACCGAGAGAACTGCTGAAGAGGATGAATAATAAAATGGAGCAAATGTGTTGATCGTTTTACCAGTCATTACATTAAAGAGGCCATTGAGTTGCCCTGCCATCACACACCAATCTGGCAGGTTGGTCCAAAGTCTGCACTCAAGTAGCTCGTTGGTTCTTCTATGCGTTGGACCTGCTGTTCAAGCTACTTTAAGTTTTCTGCCTTTTCTTTTCTTTGGAGGAGTCGTCAAATGCCCCAGACACCACGACCATCTCCGTCTTTTTCTGCTCCATTCCCCATATGAGGTTAAAGACAAATTGATTGTGTTCAAAGGTCTTTAAGCTCGTAGCGAACGGAAAGGCTGCATTTGGTTTTATTCCCCAATTTGATGCGTTGATGTCACAGTGAGCAGACATTCCAATCAAATTGTCCACTCCAAAATTTTGACCTCGGACAAAACAATCAGGCGACACGTAGCACAGCCTCTCGAAATGGTCTATAACCTGTTTCACGCACCAATCTTTACAGTGCCTTTAAAATCTAATTCGAATTATTTTATAGATCAATGGAACTCAAGTCCTACCCATAAATTCCATATGCCAAATGATCAAACTTATTTGACAAGTCCCTACTAATTAAGATAAGTAGTATCGTCAGGTTATGTTGGATTTTTAGACATTTTTGTCTACCTGACGCATCAAACAGGCTTAACAGCTTGTTTTTTACAAAAATAAAGTTTATTTAAGAAGCCACCCTCTAAACCACGCTTGCAGAGCTCAATGTTTGGCATCTGTGGAGCATCAAGTGCTGACTCATGGATTTTCAATTTATACGTATGTGAATGTAAACGCCTGAGCAACACAGGTGGGAGTTAGTTATTGTGCTTACTCACCAAAATGTGATTTCCTTATCAAGGAACAGTGTAGCGTTTCCAACTATGAAGTTCATGCCCTGGCAGTATCCCACATCTGGATTGTGGATGGTGAAGGCCTGCAAAACCTCCTGCATTTTCTGAACCTAAAATACCGACGAAAAGTGGACTTATTTTTTTCACATTCTTAACGCTGAGTCGATCAAATTAAAAGGAAATCGTCGAAGCAGTGATTATTAAGGCATGAAAGTTCTTCTGTTAGGCGCTTAATGAATTCGAAAGCTTTCCACCTTCTCGAAGGGTTTCCAGGACCTCAGCTGTTGTGGTGCACTACTCTTCCAACAGATCACGACGCTTTAGTCTTTTTATTCTTGACAGTGGTGGAGAGAGGAAATCTATGATAGATTTATTAAATAATTTTAACTTTAAATCTCAATGACCATTCCTTGTCGGAAATAGAGCAGCTGTTGGTAACAGCCATGCAAAACTGTCATTCTGTCACTTGGCGTTCAGGTGATTGCAGAAGGAGCGCCGTATCCCCTCCCCCATAAGGCGTTGGTTTTTCCTTCAACACATGCATTTGATCGTGGGACAGTAACTTCTTCCACCTCCTCCATATGTTCATGACTTATTTCTTTTCTTCTTTTTTAAAAAAGGAAACCTTGTCAATCCCCAAACTACAATGGCTTTCAATACAATTCCTTATTTTTGCTCTGTTGAACAGGTTGACGTAAAACTTACTCCAAATCCTTCTGGTCTGTTGAATGCAATGTGGTTGGGAAAGGTGCGCAGCAAATCCAAAGTAATTTGATGTCGGTAGGAAGAATCCACCTAAACCACAGGAGAGGATCAAGGGTAGACAATGGAATCGGAGCTCACCAATGACAAAGCCAGAAAGAATTCAAAAGAAACTGCTTTAAATCACCCTCGATGACCCTCTGTGTATCCCTTGAGGTAGTCTTTGAGGTCATCTTCTTGGGCTTCACGTGACCTCTATCATGACATCTTTAGACCTCAAAGGTGATGCATAATGATTTCTCCATTTTACTAAAACCGACCCGTTGAACAATCGTTTTTGTTTTAATTTAAACTGTTTTGGGGTCGGAGCGGACCATCTACCAACGTTTTAGACACAAAGGTCGAGGACTGTGGAAACGTCAATCAAGTAAAACATCAAATGGCTACAAAAGGAGCGACAATTGCCTTTATACGTCAGATTTTAAAGCAAACCTTGTGTGCGCATCTCGGTTGAAATGAGGAAGAGTCACCAACTCACCTGACTATCGTTGACCTTATTTACAAGACTTTGGTAGTATTGTGGGTCCATGTCCATTTGAAACATGCTGGCCCCAAGTTTAACCAACTGCTCCCACACCAGGTGGCGCATTCCATCCGGAATGCCTTGTCGGCAGAGGTCTTTAAGGCGTGCCTAAATGCCAAAACCACAGGTAAAAATGAGTTACATCCACTCGCAGGCATTAAATGCCAAGCGGCTGGAACATTGTCTCACTCGAGGAACTAGGCTGAAATCCGAGTTCAAAATTTCATTCCATTGGGCCACTTTTACTTCTTCTGGGGACGAATTCATCATGTAGGTATGTAGTAGGAGACTGACAAGGTAAAGCATTGTTGTTTCCTCGTTGTCAAAGGACTCTTGGAAACCATACGTGCTTGTATATCCAGTGTGGGATGATATTCTACATCAGGTAATCGACAGAAGTGAGTACTGGAGAAGTGAGATTCCATGCTCTCATTCACAACAGTAGTCATCGAATCTACTTACATAGAAGCCGAAGGTAATCGAGGATCATCCCTTCTAGCAACCTCCAAAAGATGCCTAACACGATCTTTGTGCTGAAGGGCATCAAGGAAGAAGCTTGATTACTACAAATATGACGAGTGAGCAATAGTGACTTGCTCTGGAGGTGGTTGGAATTTCAACTAAACTATTCCAGTTGGTCCATGCTTCCCAAAGTGGGAATCTTCGAGTCGTGAGTTAGTCTTAGTCTTACTGAGCCAATATGGCCTGCAAGCCTAGCCAGAAGCCTTGCCTCTTCTTAAGGTGGGTGCTGCAGTGTGGAAGGTGGATATGCTGATAAATGACTTTCTTCTCCAAGTGCCAAACATCAACATGAAAGAGGGGGACTAAAAGCTGTGGCAGACAAATCTAGGCAAACTTTTAGTAGAGAAATGAACAGGCGACGTCCTCTCCGCCTCTCAAAGAAGGCGGATAGTTGAGAGGAGAGGCTCAAGAGCTCCCTTACACTTCAATTGTCGGATCAACTTGACATCTTCAGTTATGCGATTCCCTTGACTGTGCCTGCAGTTGCATAATTTCCTTTCACTTTAGGAAAAATTTGAAGAGTTACAGTAAAATCTTCAAAGTATTACGCATAAATCAAGTTTACCTCGGCATTTATAGGCATGCTGGCGTACTTGCCACCCTCTAACGCCTCATCCAGTTTATACTTGTAGCATCCTTGAAGCAATGAGACATAGCCTATCTGCAGGTCGTGAAGTTCGCTTTCCAGCCCTTCATTTTTCCTAAAATTATGCAAATATATTTGCCATTAATGGCATGTGATACCATCAAGTGCAACAAAAGGTGTTTTCTCAAAAATCTTTCATGCTTCTACTGCTTGCATTATGAGCTTACTTGCGAAGGTTCTCATTCTTTTCCAAAGCCTGTTGGAGTTCCATCTTATTGAAGTTGCTTACTTCGTCCATCTCGCTCAAGCTGCCGCTGTCAGAACCGATGTGACTGTGGCAAAAAGAGACAGAGGAAGTTGTCATTTACTGACATAAAACCCCAGTACAGTCGCATTCTACCAAGTCCAATTAGTTGCAAGAAGTATAACATCCAAAGAAAACGTGCTGCACTCGAAAAAATGTTTCCTTTTTTAGTTTCATTAATTAAGAGGTGCATTAGGATGATTGAGGAGTGGGTCGTAATCTAGAATCAGACGCCACCACCCTCGTAAGCCACCCTGACTTCGAAACGTTTAAAACGAACAGATAAACGAGCCTTATACAGCCAACTATTTACCTATAATAGATATGAGATATAGGTACTATCAACTTACAGTGCTTTATTTAGAGCAGGGGAGACTGGAGATGGAAGGGGAGGTTTATCCTCTCTAAATAAGACGTATATCACATTTCACAAGAAGGTAAGAATTATCGTTACAACCATGTTACTTATGTTTTTAAGTACAAAGAAATT